TAGTCCTCTTCAAAGTGTTGCCTACTCGTAATGGGATGTTAGTCCTAGTGTCAAGTGGTTTAGGGAAAGAAATTATGGATCATGAAGTCATCAAAAATGTTTCTGTGGTGTGGCTGGGAAAGGTGCAGGAGCTGCTCTGCCTTTAAAGGCAGTGTTGCTTACGTACTTGAAATGAAGGGTGCTTTGTAAAGGTAATACACTACTGATGCACAGTGCTGTGATCAGCAGTGGCTGTGCTGAGGTGCCATGTGGTCTGGAAGAGTTGTGTTTTTAGTTTGAAAGCGGGATTTGGCTCTGTTTGTTATCCCCTGGTAGGATATAGATGTTACTTGTGTGATGTTCTTTATCTGGCTATGAGGGAAGCTCGTTTTAATATGCTCTCCCCTTAGACAGCCCAAATGCAACTGATACTTGCCAGTAACCAAAGCACCCAGAATTACTTCAAATACCCAACAAAACCTGGCCTAAATCGTCTGTAATATCCTATCAGGATGAGCTCTTCCCAGGACTACAGTGTGACTTTTGAGAGAGCTCTCTAAGGCTGAAAAATTCCAATGGCAAAAACGTCAAAGATTTGCCTTTGACAAGGAGTTTCCAATGAATCTTGCCTGTCTGGTTTGGCACTGCCACTCCCAGTTGACTGCCCTGCCCCTGTGCTTAAGGTAGTAAGGTGCAGGTGTGTTGATGAAACAGTGTTTGCCTGCACCTCAACCAGCCCTGGTGAATGCACTGCGAGCAAATTAAACCACTTCTGAAGATGGGTTGGTGCTAACGTGCTGGACTGGATCAGGCCCTTCAACAGAGACCTGGATCAGGCAATGTAGAACAGTAATACTTCAGGTTAGCACACTAAAAAATCACAAGTGTATCCAGCAGTGCCATCAAAGCCCTTTGTTAGGATGGGGTGGCAAAACCTGACTCTTGTGGAGGATCTTCCTCCTCCTGGTAGTCCTTGCTTTAGTAGTGCTTGTCTCTTTGGGACAGGCGGATAGGAAAACTACTGGGGTTGTTATGGTGTAGGAGCTCACAATGAGACCTGTGTTACACAGTTTAAGTGGAGACTCGCTGCCCTGAGGAGTCTTAGAAATGAAACCCAAATGCTATTCTGGCTTTGTGTTATTGTAGGAATGACACTTTTTCATGGCTATTTCACATGCATAATAAACCTGAGAGCAAGACAGCCCAGTTCTGTCTTAGGTTTAATCCTCTGTGTTTTGCATGTACAGGAGAAGATGCAAATACCTGTTCTTACATCTCTTCTAAGATCCACTCCTTTGGGCTTCAGCCTGTGTCCTTTCCAACATTTTAATTCTTTTTTCTAATATCTTAGTATGAGCTAATGTGCTTTTTGCAACATTTTGGGTACTTCATTGGCCACAAGCTAACTTTGAGCTCCTAGTGCAGTTAGGCAGCCTGTGTCTTGTAAGTCCTGCCCTATTCCCATCAGTAGTAAAGCAGCAGGTTACAGCCGGAAGCACTTCATTTAGTTCCCCAGACTGGTTTCTATGGGGCCATCCCAGGGAATCCAGAAATGCACCCAACCCAATAATCTGAGCTAGGTCTTAGTCATACATGGACGAGTCTATTCAGTCATACATACATGCTGATGCTTTCCCTGCACCACTAATGGGCATTTTTGTGGCTGCTGAGCTTTCTGCATGTAATTGGCCATTTTAGTGGCAGCCCAATCACTTTCCCCTGAAAAGCCATTCCCACTGGAGCTGCTGCCTCAATGAGCTCCATAGAGGAGGGTAAAAGGGGTATTTTAATTAGCTGTCTGAAGGAAGCAAACATAGCTGAATCTGTCATTGTGGAAGAGGAATGTTGCATGACCTTTACGTGGGCAGTGCACTTTTAACTGTTGCTTACTCTCTGTCCTTGTCTTTGAAAGGATACTGGTAAACAATCAGTTCCTTGCAGACCATATTGACTTCAGTCTTAGCCATTCAAGGACGGAAAAGAGCTTGCTATCTTCAAGAAAGAGAATCAGCTTCTTTGTTTCTATCTTTGGAGCATACCATAAGGGCACAAGTAGATTTTGTTTCCCTCTGAGAATGCTTTGTGTGTGGAACATCAAATGTAGGCTCCACCCCCAACAAGAAGTCAAAATAAGGCTAACACAAGATTGAACTCATTATCTTACAAAGAGAGGTCTCATCTTAGTTAAACTGCATTAACTTGCATTTGCTGCGTCTGCATGTAACCTCGAATGCTGTAACATGGTCACGTGTCTAAATGTAGCAGCCAGGATATTTTAAGGGCAATATAAGTGTTGATCATAACTAAGGGAGGATTGCATTAAAGGTTATTTTATACACCTTCATAAACCCTCAGTTAGAAAAGCATATGAACTTTCACGCATTCTGAGTTATCTTGGTATAATCACGAGGGCAAAGTTCCTTTAAAGACACATTCTCACACAGTATGTGCATTCCAGACATTACAGCCTTACATGAGTGATGATGCTGAGAAACAGCAGGGTGAAGTGGCAGCTGGTTTAAAGAATGGTAAATAAAAGCAAGTATGATTTACTGTTTTTAAGAACTAAAAAAAAGAAGAAATTGCTCTGGTTGCCTTGCATCCACCTTTTTCTTTTTGCACCAGTGAGCTGAGAAATCATCCAGCACTGGCCACATCTTGCTTTGTTACCCCTGCTGCATGAGAGCATAGGGGCAGGACATGATGTGGGAGGCTGCTCTGCCTGAGCAACCAGCCTCCATTTGCTGTCTTAGTTCCTAGCCACATGTGTCAAGTTACTGGCTTGCTGAGAGGCTGGATGTAGTTTCCTCTGTATTTTTCCAGCCACACAATATTGTAGCCAGAAGAGTTTTTGCCTCAAGACAATCTGTCCTACTTCATATCTCATTTGTGAGACCAACCTGTCGGCAAAAGACTTGCTCTGAGATGCTCCCTGCAGGGAAATTGAGAGCAAATATTTTCTCATTTCAGTTTTTCGTTAGTGTCTAAAAAGAGAGCAAAAGCAAGCAGTGCATGTCTGGTTTTCTCTGGTTTAATATACAAAATAAGCATTTTTCCATTTTTAAATGATGACAAAAATCATTCCCAGATCTTAATAATTTAAAAGCATCTTCTAAACAAGCAAGTCCTAAATTCCACAAAAAGGAAAAACAGTCTCTTCCATTAACCTTAGCAGTTGTTTCCCCTTAAGTAGATCAGGTGCACTCATTTTCCTTCCATCCTACCATATATTTTCTGTCCAACCACCATGATAACAGAGGCTTCATAAGACCTACAAAGTACGTGTAATGCTGTACAGTCAGGTACAGCAGTAACAGGCAGGAGATCACAGCTGGGTCCCAGCCAGACTGAAACAGGGTGCAGCTTAACAGTAACTGATTTTCCATGTTGATGAATGAGTGATAACCAATGCCTTGTTTTCCTTGCAGTGGATGGAAAGAAAGAAGTCTTGATGAGCTCCTGAGAACTGTATTCAGTGCTTCTCAGCCAGCGTGGAAATTCGTAGAAGAAACTAAAGGAAGGACATCTTGGCCTGTTCCCCAGGTTAACATGCCCTTTAATAATCAGGAATATGTACAGTGTAGCTCCCTGCTGTATGCGTAGATCTGGGATGAGCTGAGACTTCAAACCACTGGTGTAAAGTTCACAAACTTGGTAATGTTTTCTCAATATCAGTAAGTCTTAAACATATTCTGAAGTGATGTTTCTGATCCTGGGTTTTGTGGGGAAGATGCATATTCCCTTGTGACCAAAGCTGGGTGTTCCATGGGGGCAAGGTCATTTCTTCTGAGGATTGGTGACTCTCCGGAGACCTTTCAATCGACTAAGCAGTTCTGTAATGAAGTCCTAGAATGAGAATTGGTTGAAGAAGTATGTCAGTTCTAGCACTCAGCAGCCCGGAGTTTGCTATGGCACTTGCATTATTCCCACATTTGCCTTAATGCTGAGCAAAAACCAGAATTTTAGCTTAGGAAAGGAGACCTTTGTATGGATGAGAAGGATCTAAAAGCCCTTCTGTTTCCCTTCCCTTGTCTACCTCTGGAGCAGCCATACCTTTTCATCAGGAGCCAGCCTCCCCTTTCTTCATCCCAGATACCTGCTTTTTCCACCTTGAGATGACCTGAAGATGCCATTGTCCTCTGTTAGGTTCCACTGCTTCCTGTTGCTACCATTACTTCCTGCCCACTTCTGCAGCCCTCCCAATCTAGGGCAAAGCAAGTTGTCCCTCTTGTAGAACCTGTAAAGCTCCATGTTGTGCATTGCAAACCATCTCGAAACCATGCCAATTCTACAAGGAAGTGGCTGGCAGAGAAGAGGTGGAGCAAAACACACATAGGACTAATGATAACCTGGAGCAGGGGCTGAGGGCAGGCAGAGCAGATAGTTCAGCAGTTAATGGAGATAAACCCCAACTACTTTGCTGACACAGCCAAGGACTATGAACTAAACTGGACCATCTGGTTATTCCAAACAGAAGTTAATGTGACTAGAGCAAATTTTACACTTTGCATGACAATGTAACATCGCCATAATGGAGTGTGCAACCTTTCTTCACCCAAAGACAGAGCTACATGTCCTTGTAATTAGGCAAGGTCACTGGAAGTACTGCAGCTCACCATTTGCGCTGTGAGGAAGCACAGCTTCCTCTCTTGGGTGATCAGAGGTTGCCTGCCACAGCATACTCTGGAAGTAAATGCCTAGGATCATACGTACCTTTTCAGTCAGTCCCTTCAGGGCAAACCAGTTTATTTTCTCGTGAGACCTCACTTGGAGCACTGTGTGCAGTTCTGGTGTCCTCAACATAAAAAGGACATGGAACTGTTGGAACAAGTCCAGAGGAGGCCACAAGGATGGTCAGGGGACTGGAGCACCTCCCGTATGAAAATAGGCTGAGAAAGCTGGGGCTGTTCAGCCTGGAGAAGAGAAGGCTGTGTGGAGACCTCATAGCAGCCTTCCAGTATCTGAAGGGGGGCTATAGGGATGCTGGGGAGGGACTCTTCATTAGGGACTGTAGTGATAGGATGACGGGTAACAGGTTCAAACTTAAACAGGGGAAGTTTAGATTGGATATAAGGAGGAAGTTCTTTACTGTGAGGGTGGTGAGGCACTGGAATGGGTTGCCCAGGGAGGTTGTGAATGCTCCATCCCTGGCAGTGTTCAAGACCAGGTTGGACGAGGCCTTGGGTGACATGGTTTAGTGTGAGGTGTCCCTGCCCATGGCAGGGGGGTTGGAACTGGATGATCTTAAGGTCCTTTCCAACCCTAACTATTCTATGATTCTGTGATTTCCTCTTTCTGCAAATAGGCTGCTGTGATCTTTCAAGGGGACTGGATTCAAGATCACCAGGATGAAAGGACATAGATTTGCTAACGGGACAGCAGTATTTGTAGTTAGCAAGTACCATGCTGTCCACAATACACTTTCAGGGCTCATCAAGCAGTAGAGCAAACTCCAGTTACATCTCTGGGAATGTGGGGTTCTTGCCTAAGATCTGAAATTTCCCTATTGCCAGCCTTGTCTGCTGAATACTTGCTAGGAGACTCTCTGTAATGATTACTACAGCAAAGTTAAATTTCAGTGATGGTTGTGTATCCACCTCATTTTCTGTATGTTCCTCACTGTACAGCTACATAGGCTTGACAAGATATAGAGCCTGATTAATGATGTCCTAGCACATGCAATGTGTGTGATTGAAGCAGTGGTGGGGGACCCCATTTTGCACAGATATGCAGTACAGCAAAGGCGACTGTTGTGTGGTGCATGCACCACACTGCAAAGTATTGGGTTCCATTTCTTTTGGACATTGTGACAGCTTGTGGGAGTTCTTCAACTCTCTAACTCAAAACCAGTACTTGTAAACTTCACATGGGAAGAAAACCAAACTTGAAAAACTGACTTATGTAGCCACTACTCAACAATTATCTGCCCAATCCAATCTGAGGGCCATCCAACATTCTTGTCATTCATAACAGTAGAGTGGTTTAAGCTGAGAATGCATTTTTTTAACAGTGTGAAAGATGGTTATGTGAGCTGTAATCCCTGTCTATGGATTTTCTATGCTGAGGTCCAAATAGCAACTCACCTTGGTCAGGTTAGGATGTCCAAAACATGAAATGGACTTTGGTTATAATGTGTAATTCCTTATTTGCTTCACTGCTCTGCCCTCATCTCATCATGTATATGATGTAGATTTACATGTACTTTTCTAACACAGCAGAATAAAGCAGCAAACACTTTCCATTGGGAATTAAACAAATTTGCAGCGTTGTGTTAGGCACAGGAATACTGTGGCTATTCAGTGAAGCAGCAACAAAGACACACTCTCCCAGCACAGTATAACATATATATATTGATGGTGCTTCACTCACCTCTGTCGGGTTGGAGCACTCATGGAGGATTTCCTAAAAGCAAAAATAGGGAGGAGTCATCTCAGTATTCTACGAGTTGATCTCTTCTCCCCTCTCTACAGAAAGGATATATAATCTTACTACATTTGACATAATATGGCACAGGGAACCACCATGCAACACTATATAAATATACATATACATGTAACACTATATACACATACATGCAACTACTTCTTCTGAAGGAAGTCCCAACTTAAAAGTCCCCAGTCCCTCTGACCTGTAGTTTTAATTTCTGTTCTTCATTAGGGACCTCCAGGAGATCTTCAAGGTCAATTTGTGGTTCAGGAGCTGCTGCCTCTGTTTCCTCTCTTAGCTAAAAAGAATAAAACCAACCCATACTTAACAAACCTTCAAACTTTAAGGACTCTGGAGGCCATCTTTAAAGAAGGGAGCAGCTTCTTCCTCCTCACTTTGAAGTGAGGAGGAACTAGTTGCATAGAACTGCTGCACACTTGAGGTCAAGATACAAATTGTCTCAAAATAAGGAGATTCTTAGAGCACAGATTCCTGTCCCTCTCTGGTGTCTGCTACAGCTGCACATCCTGATGCATACATTCCTCATCTTTTCCCACCTCAACTCTTGATACCACTGCTCAGTGGGAAAACCCAGCTGACAGAAATCCAGTGGGCTTAATCTTAGAGAAGTACAAGTAATACAAGGAAATTAGGCTAAATACATTCACATAGTTGGGATTTCTACTAAGGCTTTTTGCAGTAATGGAGAGAAAACCAGTAAGGCTTTTCAGAGGCCTAACAATAACTTGCCAGCTTTCTCTAATAGACATGAAAGGGGTATAATAGTCTCCTTTAATGTGAGAGAAACCCCAAGCTTTGGTGATTGGAGTAATAATCTTGTCATGCATGGGGGTGTTAGTTGAAACAGTTGGAAACTTGATCACAGATATATTTTAGGTCCACGTGTCCTTACCAGACTGCATGAAAAGCAGGCTGTGGTTTTCAATGGATTTGCAAAATAATCTTTGACAATGCAACACTAGTGATATTTTAATAGTAATCAGAATAAGGAGACTGACTAAACAACATAGTACGTGATTACTGGGTAGCATTTATGGATGTGAATGTAAAACATTGTGCAATAAAGGCAATACTTACAGGGAAAAAAGAAACTTGTTCTCTGATACCAAGCCAGAGATGAAGTAGAAAACCTTTGTTCAGCTTTGTAATGCAACTGACCTGATAGTAACTAATAAACCAGACTTAAATATATTGTACTGCGACCCATACAGCATTTCCTCTTCCAAATAATAGTTATAATGTGACTGTTTAGACCAGGTGTTGATCCAGCCTGACTTTGTCTCTGGCTAAGAAGCTAAATAGGCAAGGAGAGTGAGAAAGAGTTGGAACCTATGGGCTTTTGGGTCCAAGTATGGATGGTGTTGTGGCTTCCATGTGCAGGGAATCATCTCGAAAATCAAAATTGTCTCCTGGTTCTTAGTTTTGTTGCAAAAAGCCTCATGACAGTGAATAGCATAGCATTCAGGTTATCTGTATCAGGAGGCAATGCTTGAACTAACCTTGCTGCAATTGAACCTACAGTGCTGTTCATTCTGACTCTGGAGATGGACTTTTCATCAGGGACTGTAGTGACAGGACAAGGGGCAATGGGTTTAAACTTAAACAGGGGAAGTTCAGGTTGGATATAAGGAAGAAGTTCTTTACTGTGAGGGTGCTGAGGCACTGGAATGGGTTGCCAAGGGAGGTTGTGAATGCTCCATCCCTGGCAGTGTTCAAGGCCAGGTTGGACAGAGCCTTGGGTGACATGGTTTAGTGTGAGGTGTCTCTGCCCATGGCAGGGGGGTTGGAACTGGATGATCTTAAGGTCCTTTCCAAGCCAAACCATTCCATCATTCTATACCCTTCCTTTCTAGAAGTGTTTCTTCCAGAAACACAGGTTTCTGGAAGACACTGAGGAACATTGCACTGCCCAGGGCAGGTGGAGCTATGGAAGAAGCTGACAAAAAGACAAATTAATGGAAATCAATGGATCCAAGGAAGCCCAGACTAGCAGGGCAAACTAAATAGCCTTGCCACAATTAGCAGGACCTGCTGGCACCTGGGTGATTACAAGTAATTTACTGTGGCACATGTATTTAATTGAAGAGATCCTGTGTAACCCCCCCTGTTGTACCCTACTAACAATCTCTGACCTGGCACAGCATCATATTGTGTAGTTCCCTATAGCAAATCTCTTTGGTTGGCCCAAATATAGCAGGAAGTTGGGAAACCTGTTGTGCAGGAGAGGTGCTAGCAAAGGCAATCTACTGGCAATCTGTTCCTGTAAGGGCATGGCTGGATTTTGCACTTTTGCCTGCTGGGATTTTGTAGTAGGAAAAAAATATGCCCTTTGGGCAGCTACTTTGAAGACAGTGAACAGCTCCCAATTCTCAGAAAACCAGAAGTGGTAATGTAACCTGGCTTGGTTTTCTGACACCTTTACAAGTGCACATCTGTAGACTTGGGCAAGTAAGTGAAGCACATGGGGATCCTCATCTTGGATCACGTTACTGGTGGTACCAGGTGCTTTCATCTATCTCAAAAAACCCCACACACAAACCCAAATGTCCTCTAAAACCACAACAATTTGCCAAAGAGCAAGATGTTCTGTTACTCAAAGCAGCAGCCATTCCCATTGCTTATCTCTAGCAAATCTCAACAGTCAGGTAGCTCAGTACAGGTAGCTCTGTACTGAGCTACCAACCAGGTAGACCCAGGGGACAGTTCCTTAAATGCCAGTGCAGGCAGGTCAGCAAGTGATGCCATCACTGGCACTGTTATTTTGAAGAGCAATCTCTCACCAGGACAACCACGAGCACTGCACAGACACACTGAATGTTGCCTGTCTGACTAGGTCTAGGTCATGTGTGTTTTCTGCTCCTATGTACATGACATGATCATAGAATCAGATTCACAGACTAGACTGGGTTGGGAAGGCACCTTAAAGCTCATCCAGTTCCAAACCCCCGGCCATGAGCAGGAACACCTTCTACTAGACCAGGTTGCTCTAAGCTCTGTCCAACCTGGCCTTGAACACTGCCAGGGATGGGGCAGCCGCAACTCTGCAGCTACAGGTTCAGCATTATCCAAAGTGCCTCATTCAAACAGCAGGTACAGCTACGCTATTGTGACCAAAGGAACAAGGCTACACTAATAATTCCAACCCATCTTGCTTAGCTACCACTTGCAGCAAAGACAGTCTGTATGTGGAGCTCAGCAACAAGCAGCATTCCAGGTCTGTACATCTCTCTAGGTTCTGTGAGCAATAGCTACACCCCCAGCAGGTACAAGACCAGGCAGTTTAAAGCTAGTTGGATTATACTGGTGCAAGCTCCTCTGACTGCAGATACACCAGTCAGTGCTGTAGCAGGTGGCAATAAGATACCTAACGAAGACTGAAGATGAGGAGCTACTTCCAGTGGCTCAGAGCAAGCACACTTCTGTCCCAGCACACGGGACACTGGTCCCATTCACCCGATGAGTGAGGGGCTGACCTGCCCCAGTTACTCACCCGGCACTGGTACAGCTCCTGCAGTTGGGCGTTGATCCATTCCTCCAGGTCCAGCCAGCGCTGTAGGTCTTTGCGGTTGTACTTGATGGTTAACTTGCCCAGTTTCCTGTGTGACGATTCCTCCCCAGGTTTCTCTGGTGTCTGGAAAGTCACCCGGGGCAGTGTGCTGGAGTTGCTGGCCATGCTCACCCCTCTGACAGCAGAAACTCCTTCCTGTGGGCTCCTTTTCTCTGCGTCCTTTAACCAACCCTTCTCTGCAACCAGTGGCCCACAGCACAGGCTAATCCCAGATGCGGAAAGCAGGATGCATTGGTGATCCCAAGGAGACAGATGGAGGAGACCACACGACCAGGGCAGCAGCCAGGCTCTGCAGGCAGAGTTACAGCACTGGAGTCTTGGGTTTCACCATGGGCTGTGCTGACAGGAGCAGGGACGGAGGCAGAGGAGTTGTTGTAACTACATCTGTTGTTAAAAGAAGCCAAGTGAACCAGGGAATTGATGAACCAAGGCTGTTAATATTTAACGCAAGGCAGCTCCAAGAGGTGGGGAAGAAGGAGGTTTTCAATTACTGTTTTCCTACAGGCATAACTTAGGTGCCTGTGCAGTTCCAGAGGGCTGATCCATACATAATGCATTGAATCCTGCTGTGTTCAAGCTTCTGTAAACTACTTTGCTGCAGGGTTTAGCTCCCATTGAAATGGTGTATTTGGCATTTCCTGGCTAAAGCACTGGACCCAGCACAGGTAAGAAGTGATCTGGAGTCAGGTGGCTACAGCCACTAATACTAGGTCAGTGACACTGAAGCCACACTTGGGCTCAGCAGTCCTATTTGATGTTGTTCTACAATCTCTGAATCTATTCCAGCTGTCTCAAAGATTGCTGTAGAAACCCTGGTGGCCTCAATTTGAGACCATTTGAGCAAGGTGCTTCTGAGAGAAATCAAGATACCTGTGCTCTTCTTAAATAAACCAGGATTTGACATGATGATACAGGAGGGGAAGGCCTGCCTAGGGACACAGCACTATCTCGTCCCAAAGAAAGGTACTTAAAGTAAATAGGCTCACCTGCTGAAGCATCATAAATGGCTGCTTTACTACGTGTTATCACTGCTGTGTTTACAATCTCTTTCTTACTGGAAGGTGGGTTAAAGGTCTGCAGCATTACTGCCCCACGTGTGAGCAGCACTGTTCAGAGGAACACAGGTCAGGCTGGCTGAGTTTATGGTGTGCCGGAGCACTGCAACACCTGCGTTCCCTCCACATGCTGTATCACACAGGCTCCTTATTCATCCACTCCCAGAGCACTGCCCAGGGAGCACATGGAACAGACAAACCAGCTGAGACCCTCCATCATGAAGCATCAACCATCAACCCCAGCCTCGTGATCTAAGGTGGAAAAAGCAAGTCTCTGCTGCTCCTGCAAGCCAAGGTACTTCCAGTTTGGAGACTAAGAGCTAGGTACACCAAAGGAAGAACAACCAACCCTTCTCCCACTGACAGGTACTGCCAGGCAGCATGGGAATTCTGCAGAGGGGCTGGTCTCCTCTGGGCAGGCAAAAGCTTATCTGTACCATTGAATCATATAATGGTTTGGGTTTGGAAGTGGTACCCAGTTCCCTAGCCAAAGCCCAATTCCTGCGCCCAGAGGGATGGTGGTACAGCCAGCCAGCAACATCTTGTACACAGGGTGACAGAAAATCGGGCAGGGCCATTCCAGCCCTTCTCTTCATCCTGCATTTCAGCAAAAAATAAAAGCCTTTTCTGACAGAACATTCCACAAAACACTGATCCTGAAACTTGCTTCCACATTGGTGAGGTATAAGGTGTTAAAGTATACCTGAAACTGATATCATCTCCTCTGCTTTTCATAGAATCATAGAATCACAGAATGGTTTGGGTTTGATAGGACCTTAAGCTCATCGAGTTTCAACCCCCCTGCCATGGGCAGGGACACCTCACACTAAACCATGGCACCCAAGGCTCTGTCCAACCTGGCCTTGAACACCACCAGGGATGCAGCATTTACCACTTCCTTGGGCAACCCATTCCAGTGCCTCAGCACCCTCACAGTGAAGAACTTCTTCCTTATATCTAACCTGAACTCTTTTCAGACAGCCTAAAATTCCTATTCAGAAGACAGATACCAGGTATTTAATTTAAGCAGCTTTGCCCCCTTTTCCTCACTTGGCTCCCTCTAATCTCGCTCCTGAAATTGTGGTGAGGGGCCCAGACCATACTCAATGAGTGCAGATTCTTCAGAGATTAAGAGTTAGAAACCTTGCAAAACCCACTGAACACCCTGTAGTGTGTTTACAGCTATTGGCTTTTCAAAGGTCAATATCTGACCCAGCACAGGCAGATTTTCACAAGGTAGCTGTGGACCAAAGGACACTGCCAGGAGTCAACTTCTCACCTCCAAACACAAGTGCTCTATTTTGGTGTTCAAGGACTGGTAGTTTTTAACAGGGGAAAACAACCAATGTTTCTTTGGTCCCAAGAAACCATGACAAGCTGTCATTGAGATAAAGAAAAAGGACCAGACTTAGAAGAGAAGTTCCCTAGCTGAACTCTGGTGCAGTTGAGCAGTTCACTTCAACTCTACATGAAAGATAGGGTTTGCCCTATTGATCTTCTGCCAGCACAGTTGAACTCATGAAGCACAGGATCCGGAGGTCACAGGATAGGTGTGAGGAAGAGGGAAAAGGGAATATAACCTGCCCTAATGGTTCTTCAAACACTTTGAGCCACTGTTCACTTGTCACCTCACTTGAGCATGAGCAATGCACTGAGATACCACGTCTGAAAAGGTCCACGGGCAGACTCACCCCACCGTCTCTATTGACAAAGTAGTGAGCAGAACCCAGTGCCCTTGTGCTGCTCTGTCAGTGTCACCTTACAGTGGAATAAGACATTCTGAGGGTGATGTCAGAGGCCTTCTCAGGCAACTGCAAACAAAAATGAGCCCGATTACAGGATGTTCATCATACTGCTTTGGCTTATATGAGCTTAGTCATGGATTATTTGTAATGAGAAGGTGGCGATATAGGAAAAAAGGTTTACAGATAAGGTAGGCCTCCTCCAGTAATAAACTATTTTAATGTATCACTAAAGCAGGAGAAAGAAGCAAAAAGTGTGCAAGATCACTGCCTGAGGATGTGGTAGAAATTCCTTCAGGCACAGGACAGGGTGCCTCATACAGGGTAAGGGATACTGTCCCCTTTGAGTGAGACAGCATCTTCTATGGGTGCACCAGCCATCTGCCAGTGCTGGTAAGGGCCAGTGCCACCAAGCAAGAAGAAGCTGTATGACTCTTTGCACACTGCTGCATCCCATCCTGTCCTCTTCTTGCTTCACAGCAGATTCTGGTGGCCAAAGGGGCAGAAGGACATTCACCATTGTGTTCGGACACGCACAGTGGGGGGATTTCAGAGATCTCGGGCATAGCTTGGAGATGGGATCTTATTTTCAACCCCCTTATCTCTCCTTATAGACTTGGGCACACAGTCTGCACCAAAACTTGAGGAGCAAACACACATACTTGGGCAACTAAGTCATCTCATTAGACAACCTGTTTGTTCACCAGAGCTGTGCACATATAAACTCCAATGGGCCTCCTGCTGCAGTTGCTGGTGATTGTGCCCTCTGCAAACCTGCTTATGGAGTGAGTAAAGGGGGTTTAACTGTGGCCAACAGGTTCAAGTGTTAGACTGAAACACTGTGCCTCAGTTTCCATGCGTGTGACCTGAGGTTGCTGCTCCTCCCTAAGAGGGAGGTCTTGCCTCTGAAAAGGAGGGGGGGATTCCATACTGTGAAGCTGGGCTTTTGCGACTGTCTATGGCTCCAGAGAGGGCCACCAAACCAAGGTGAGCATCTGTGCCATAGTACCAAGCAGCTGTGACACAGATCCAGACAGGAGAGCACAAGTGCATGAGGCAGATCAGTTACACTCCTGTGCTCTTGAAGCTAATAATGTCCATCCCACACCTGTGACCTAAGCTGGTGCTTCTCTTTCTCTCTGAGCTGATGACTCTGGTGTGTGCTCAATAATTCAGCAGGGCCCCAGCTCATCTTTCCAGAGATCCAGGTCGGCCCATTTCCCATTGAGTACCAGCATAGAGAGGGATGCTTCCCTTCAAGGGAAGCCACTCGCCACCTGGTTTAGAAAATAATCACTTTCCTTGTGGTTGCAAACACGACAGTTAACACGAGTTACACCAGGGAAGACAGCAGAGGTGACTGTACCAGCACTGTGTTGACACCACGAGGTAAAGGGGTTCCGCACCCTCCTGTGAGCAGGAACAGGCACAGAAAACAGTTGTGCAGAACAGAAAACGTAGCCAGGACTGGAGATATAAAGAATCCAGAGCCCCAAGCGCACACACACACACACACACACACACACGCAGTATCTTGACATCCATCATCCACTTCCATAGCAGCGTGAAAAACCAAAAAGGCTGCACTGAAATCTAGGCAGAGGAGGGAGCACACATCATCTCGTGCCTTCAACTCCTGGAGACTTAAGGAAGCAGCCAGGGGTTTCCAGCTCACAGATTCCCTACCTGAACAGTGCTGTACCTTCTCCCCAGCACACAGACAGGACCCTATCTATTCTTCAGACAGGCAATCAATAATCAGTCTTACTCCTCTCCCCCAACAGTCTCACCTTTCATAAGGCAATGGAAGAGCAGTGAGAAGGAAGAATGGTGAGAGACAGAGGAAAACATTTCCCAGCTCAGTATTTGACTGATCAACCCCAAATCATCACCTCAAAAAGCAGACAGGTCTCAGCAACAGAGAGAAGAGGTGAGAGGAGCTGGCCTGCCTGCCCTCCTGCCTCTGTTACTGGCAGGCAAGTGAAGTGCAAAGGCTTAATGGCTCAGCACCAGCTGAGAAGGGTACATGAGAACTAGCTGTACTTACTGCTCTGGCACAGCAGGACTAGCGAACCCTGGACTCCCTTGTCATTTAGGCAGTTCTGCTTATCTGTGTCCATCCTCAAACGTTCTGTAGGTAGTGGGATCAGTAAGCATCTCCACTGAAGAGGAAGCCCCCCTCCCCTTGAATACACGTGTGAGGCTGCCAACATGGATTAGATGCCAAATGGATTATTTGGGGATCTTTGAAAACCTGTCCATGTTGTTTTGCTGCCCTCCCTCTTGTGTTGCTTTGCTGTTTCCCACAGAGAGTTTTGCAGCACTAAAAGCATTATCAGTGTTTCCATGTGTTTCAGCAAGTCCTTGAATGGCAGAGTTGGAGACAAGAGAAGCAGAGGCTGAAGAGGTGAAGGGATCCTCCTTGTTCTCCAGCCTGCTTTCAATGATGAAATTTATTGTGATCCATGGCCTTGGAAAGGCGCAATTCCACTTGCAGGGTCTGTACTGCTCCCACTGCAGGGAAATCACCATAGACAGACCCAGGGCACAGCAGCCTTTCATGGGAGGTGCTGGCAGCTGGCATGAAGTCTGAAGGTTCCCTGGGATGCAGTCACTGTGGGAAGTGATAGAGGAGAGGCTGTGGAAACCCCATGGCCCATCCTGTTCAACGGTAAAGAACAGGTTGGGTTGCCTACGGGGACTTCAATAGGAAATGTTAAGCTTATTCTAGTATTTGCAAATTGAAGGTTCTTTGCTTCACATTTCCATATCCATCTCCATGTAAAAGCCTAATACAGACAAGACAAAAATGAAGATACTTTCTCGCTGTGACTCCTTTCCCTTCTTCCTTTTGCAGTGCTCTTGCCTTTCAGGGTTTACCTTGACCAGCAACATGAAAACAAAAGCCAGTGCCATGCAGGACTATAGACAAGAATTCCCCATTGTAACTGCCTTCCCCAAAGCTACCCTCCATGCAATAGGAGTGGCTCTCAGGAGGACTCAGCAGCTTGTCATCCTTTCCCTTGCTTCCACAGGACCAGTTTTAGTCATGGCCCGACAAGGTCCCTCCCGGTCTCCTTCCTCTGCCACATCTTTGTGCCATCACTTGCATCCGGGCCTCACCCCTAAACCACACCAGGAGGTTTCCCCTGAGGCAAATACAACAAAAGAAGCAAGCAAGCAAACCTGTCTCCCAAGCAGTAATAGTACACAGAGCGGTTCCCAGGTAAAGCACAGCAGAATGGATTCATCTGCAGCAGCAGGTGGGACAAGCTGCTGTCAGGAAGCCACTGCAGATGGTGATGCCATGGAGCTGGGCTGCACAGCAAAGGGGACCTGAAACAAGTCTTCCCTATTTTTCTGCCTGTTGGGATCACTTCCTCATGGACCTGCAGATGGGTCTCCATAGCAAACACAGGAAGGCCGGTGACGCAGGCTCCTGCATCGAGTGGGTTAGAAGCCATGCGTGTGTGAGAGC